ATGTAAACTGTTATAGAGTGATTTCACAGTGGAGGCTTATATTTGTACTAAGTCGGTCCTAAAATAGGTTCGACGTACAAAACGTTAGGAACTTGATATAATAGGTAGTGATTTTCCAAACGTAGCTTGGATGTGGCACAAGTCCGAAAGTAAGGGGCACCCAGTGAGGATCGAACTCACTACTCATTCGTAATTGTTCTAGCGAGACAAGCTTGCTAACCATTACACCTCGAGGTGCCCAACCTGATATAATAGGTATGACGCAGAGTAATCTAGTTGCGGTCGCTGATACTTTAGTATCCGACTATCGGTCGTCCGGCATCGACTGACTGACCAACTCACTGAGCGACTTCCTCGTTACTCTTACTACTCCTACTTATTATAGGTGGAAGAGACTATTAACAATAGAATAGGCGTGTTCCACTATAACATAAACAGAGCTTTGGTTTATCATTTTTAAATAACCACAATCATTTTCATTTTTGTTGACATTCAAATTTTTTTGTCACCTGTAACAATGCGATGCAAAAACGAAAGGTTGGATTTCTTAGTCTTAGTTTCCTGCTCGTAGAATAACTTTGTTTTCGTTTCACAAGTGAAAAACTCAAGCATCGTCTTAGCAAGTTTTCCCACAATTAGACCTCTAAAGGAATATTAAAAACACACTTTCGGTTAGAAAAGATGATGAACTAATTCACGGCCCAGTGTCCTTCCATTCAGCCTTCCATCTTGATTGGTTCAATCATAATTCCTGGTCCTAAAATATGCCATTACTTTTCGAACACCCTAATATATGTGAAGTATTATTTTTTTTTATTTCTCAGTTCTTGGTTGATCTAAATTGACACCAGTTGTGTTGTACAGAGTTATTCTATTGTAAATATTATTTTACAAACACCCAACAACAGAACGTTTCAACTGACCCCAAGCAAGGCAATAATGCCACAATGATGCTAGCGGGTACTGGGAGTGAAAATGGATGAAAAAAGCATTAAAAGAATCGGAAACACAATCCTAAACAAGAAACAAGGGATAAACCTCTAATCCTGTTCAAAAGACTGGGGAGGATTGTGAACACACCGAGAGGCCATAATCACCCCAAGCAAGGCGATAATGCCACTAAGATGCAACGGGTTACTGGGAGTGAAAGAGAATTAAAAATACATTAAAAGGAAGCTGGAAACTCAATCCTAAAGAGAAAACAAGGGATAAACCTCTACTCCTGTTTGATTGGTCTGGAGTGTGAACCGGGCAATAGTCTTGAAAAAGCAATGTTTACCTTAGATTCTGCTGAAAACTGTTTCTTTCTTGTTACAACTATCGCATTTTTTGATCATTTGAAATAAATTACATAATTTGATTATTAGCATAAAAGCTTGACATAGGATTTTGAGTGTTGTCCATGGGACGATGGGACGTTGGATGATATTTTAATTATTCCTGTCAAAATGTACGTAATTTAATAGGACATAAAATGTGTTGAAATTTTCCACATAAGATTATGACAGAAAATTACATAAAAGAAAATAATTGTCATTTCCAAGTTAATGTTTGTCAGGCCCATAAATTAAGCAATGCCAGTTTATATATATTCTCGCTGTTTATATATGTAACTTGCAATGTCATGGCTCAAATATATATAAAAAATATGTCAAATCTTTTATTCACTCTAATAATTACATAGGATATCGTGACGCAGCTATGTCTGAGGGTGACTGTGGGTAAAAGGAAACAATAATTTCACTTGTAGTTTAGTGACGACTACATTTGAATCAAGTTTCGACTTTTCTACCCGACTGGTTTCTTCACCTCCCTGCTGGGTTGCTTTTGTCATTTTCTTCGTTAACAAACGAAATATTTATGGCAATATTGACCATGAAGCGCTCAATTGAGGATAAATCACTGAATTTGACAATTTGGAACATAATTTATCAAGTTTATCAAGCGACTGATTTTTTACTGTGTTTCTATTGAATATCTTGTGAAGAGTGCTTGATGGGGGCGGAAGCGTTTGTGCAATATAAATTCCACTCATATACAAACACTCGTACTCAAACAATTCCTGTAATTTCCATGCGATTTTTAATAAACAATGCAAATTAAATACAAATCTTATAATTTGTGATCAGAAATATGATATTATATACACTTTAATATATTTTTGTCTTTATTAATTATGATCTAACAAATCTTATTCATTGAGTAGACATTTTTTGTAATCTTACAATTTTTTTACAAAATTTTACTTAACAAATACAGTAAAAAATAACATATTTTACTTGTAAGGCCCGATTTCAAATCCCTGTCACGGCAGTTGCGTTCACTTTCGCATCCATGGCATTGAGAAAGGCATGAATCCATCTTTTCTTCTCGCAGCTATGGTTTAAATAGAAGGGTAGAGTGGATTATCTAGCTTTGAGTGGTAGCAAGTCTAAGAGAAAGCGCTTTAAATTTTAAACCTTGACGAAAGCAACAGGTAATCACCCAACTATATTGCGTTAATTTACAAATAATAATAATAATTAAAAATCAGGTTTGAATATATTTTCCATTCATGGTGTCTAATGTAAAGAATATTAAGTTTATTTTGATTTATACTTGAAATAATAAAAATTCTGAAGCCAGTTTGTAAGCAAAAATCTGTGAAAATTAGGAACTTCTCTACAGGTTGTCAGACGATATTTAAGACTAAATGCTCTAAAGTTTGTAAAAGTTATAAATCTAAATTTTGGTGTCAGTATTTATCACATCAAACCTAAGCTTTCCCATTGAGTGCAATACTGATGTTTTTTTTTTAAGTGAAAAATTAAGCTAATGCTTGTAGCGTAACGTTTATCGGAAAGCGAAATCGAGGCCCGAGTTCAAATCCCTGTCTCGGCAGTTGCGTTCACTTTCGCATTCATGGCATTGGAAAAGGCATGAATCCATCTTTTTTTTCTCTCAGCTATGGTTTAAATAGAAGGGTAGACTGGATTATCTAGCTAAGAGAGGAAGAGCTTTAAATTTAAAACCGTGACGAAAGCAATAGGAAATCACCCCACTATATTGCCTTAATTTACAAATAATAATAATAATAATAATAATAATGATAATGATAATAATAATAATAATAAATGAATTTATAGCGAGGTATAACCGCCTACGCTCCGAAAGGAGGATGACATCAAAAAAAAAAAAAAAAATCTGTTGCCAGGAACGAAAGGCGAAGACGTTATATTGATATCCGGCGCCAGACACTAGGTGGCGCCAATTTGGAGAGGCGAGAGGAAATGAAATAGGAGGAGATTATACCAACGAAGGTAGATCGTAATCCTGCGCTTTGACCTTAGTCCGAATTGTTCACGAAGACGAAAGAGGCTATCAGCTACATTTTTTGTTTTGGGGGGCGAGGGGTGAAGGGGGGATTGTGTGTGCGTGTTGTGGAGGGGGTGCGTTCATGAGAAGAGATTAAGACTTATCATTGGATTATAAAGTCCCACAATTCCGTACGTTCTTCTCTCTCTCTCTTTCTCTTTTCGGCTTTCTTCATAAAACAAAATCTTGCATTTGACAAATAGGAATTTTATCTCGATCAGTCAAGATACAAAACTGTGCGTTTTTACGTCTTAAACTGCTTAATCTCCTCTTCCTTGACACCTCCCCCATCCTCACCTCACTCCCCATATATATATATATATATATATATATATATATGTATATGTGTGTGTGTGTGTGTGTGTGTATGTGTGTGTGTGCATTGACCCTGTTTAAAAGAAATATACATATCCAGTCGTATTAATAAACACTAAAGGAAGGTATTAACAGTCTTCTTTAGATATTAGCAAAGATCGTTGAAATTGTTTGAAGATGTATTTTCTGCGGTTTGCGGGCAGTTAAACAAATCCTAACAGTCAGAAGCCGAAAACCTGAAAAGATTTTACACAATCGAATGCTTCTTTTCCTTGATTCTTTGCTTCCAGCCTCGTGAGGCGGGATTCTTTGCTTCCAGCCTCGTTTAAGCGCAACTAGAACGAATATTTCAAATGATAACTTTCAATACTTCGCATTAGGAAAAAATGGTGCGACATGATCTTCATACAGCAGTCTCTATATTAGTTTAAATTGCAAAATGTGATAAGCCAATAACCAATTTTACAGTGTGGTCCGAAAGTCATGTCACCCGTTTATTATATAATTTTCTATTTCAGATGGCTGACACAAGCTCCTACATTTTGGAAGAGAGAGTTAGACTTTAGGACGGCTCTGTATACGTCGTCATTGACCTCAGTCTTGATGCACTGGCAGCGCGAGGCTGGGAAACATACAAAAATAATTTAGGTTTGACTGCCAACCTTCATGAGCAGTTTCCAAAATATGGGGCCTTCAACCTGACATAAATAATCCGATGCAAAACATTTGATATATCTTAGTATTTCTGTCTCTCTCTCTCTCCCTATCTATCTATCTATCTATCTATCTATCTATCTATCTCAGACTGTTTTATCTATCTATCTATCTATCTATCTATCTATCTATCTATCTATCTATCTATCTCAGACTGTTTTTATCTATCTATCTATCTATCTATCTATCTATCTATCTATCTATCTATCTATCCTATATACTTTAAAATCATATTATTTTTACTTTTATATTATTTTTTTTCACGCGTTTATTGAGCACTTTTTAATACCACTGTTCCTTGTCTGATTCAGCTCAGACCATTATGCTTTATATATATTATTATATATATATATATATATATATATATATATATATATATATATATATATATATTTTAGCGTAATATGCATGGATAGATCGAAGAAATAAGCGAATCATCGCATGTCAAAAATGTTTGTATAAAGCTGAGATTACATTTATATATACTCCCAAGATTTCATGTTAGATGATAACCCAATCCACTTATCCCTTTTTCGGCCATGGCTCATATGACACACTCTGTCCCGTTACTTTTCTGACAGATCCTCGTATAGAAAAGCTATAATCAAGATAATTCGGACTATATCACGTTGAAAAACCGGTTCCCGTACGGTCACCAAAGTTAAGCAACATTGAGTTTGGTTAATACCTAAATAGGTGACCGCTTGGGAATACCAGGTGCTGTAAGCTTGTTTCAGAAGATGGTGTCATGGATAACGGCTCGGAATTGTAAATCAGAGTGCCGAGTTCCAATTCCAGTCGGTTCCGTTATATTCACTTACCCGCAAATACTTTTCGGGAAAGATATGGATTCACTTCTTCTCTCCCCATATATGGGTTAATCAGTAAGACTTGTATCACTAAAACTATCATTATCTCAAAATAGATCTCGCAATCTAAAAATAGTTTCTGGCTTTAAATAACCTGCAGAAAATGGATCAATCAACCAATGACTGATAACTGGATGCAGAGCAGGGAGAACTGGGTACATGACTTTCTCACGTGAGTGCTTACGTGATATAAATAGTTTTCTTCAGAATTCAGATCTGGTTTGCAAATATCATTTTCTATATTAATAACAACTGTCCGTCTATATTTCTGAGATGAGGTATTATGTACATTATTTACATTATTCGGACTACTGTCCTCATCTTTGTCGTCATATTTATTACAACGTTCCGGCCGTTGTACGCTCCGGCCTTCTTCAGGTGGTTGGAATGTTGAAATGAACCATTTATTTCGCTCACTAGGGTAGACTGTTCTAGTTCCACGTGCCATGTTTAATGGATGTCAGTTATCAGTTATCTCCTGCTAATTTCCCTCTCCAAGTTCTCCTCAAGGACACATGGCACAGTGGATAAAGGCGTTAGTTACATCCAGTGGCAGGACTTAAGAGTGTGAGTTCAATGCCGGTTAAGGCAGTGGAGAACTTTCAGAGGGACATTAACGGAGATAACTGATAACTGACATCCATTAAACATGGCACGTGGAACTAGAACAGTCTATCCTAGTGAGCAAAATAAATGATTCAGTTCGACATCCCAACCACCTGAAGAAGGCCGGAGCGTACAACGGCCGAAACGTTGCAATAAATATGGCGACAAAGATGAGGATAATAGTCCGAATAATGTAAATAATGTAATAACAATTGCATTAACAACCTAACATTGGACTATTTTAAAGCAGAATGTTTATTGGCATCACAAATAGATCTGCTAAAATCTCATTTCTCAGCTTTTCGCTTAAGAGTCTTTGGTTTTGAAATCAAATATTTTTCGTGCTTTTTTATAAGCTATGGTTAACGATTTCCACCTGCCAGTCATTATGGGTTGAAATTTGAACCTCACAGGTAGCAGTCTTATAATCTAATTGCAGCCCTAATATCGAATAAGTAAATACAGAATGACAGGGTTTCCTACTATCAAATATAACCTGTCACACGTTAATATGATGTCATTATGACAAGTAATGGGAAGCCCTCCCGTCGAGTTTAGAGTCAGATTGTATCTAATTATTTGTCAATACAAACCGAAAAATGTATTAACATTTTCCTTTTTGTTATTTACTACTAAATTCCTTATAACAATTGACTCAGGTTACGTACTAAAACATTTTAAACCCTTTTTTATCGATTCAATAACGCTAATAGCAATGGCGGCCATATTTTTCGTTTTGGTCCGAACTAATACTAATTGTATCAGTACAAATCAAACACTGTCTTGATAAACAAAAGGGTTAAATATATTGAGATTTCGATATCCAGACCAACCAAGCAAGGATAAGGAAAAAAAAAAAAGAAGAATCTGCAATGTAAACAGTCCTAACCTGGCATATCGGATTCAATCACTTACCCTGTGTCTTTTCATGGTAGTTGTTACTCTGAGCTTTCCTCTTTGTTACCGTCCCCCATCCCCCTTTTGGCCTTGTGCCACATTTTTTTGTTTTTATTCCCCCCCCGACTCCTCATAGATATAGATTGTACATATGGGAACTGGTCAGGACTTTATGGAGATTCTGAGGTATTATGGTGGATGTAGTAAGAATGATAAGTAAGAATGTGTTGTTTTGGTGTAAGGAATATCGTGGTTTGTGATTGTGGCTAGATGAGTTTAATTATAAGACAGAAGAAGAGCAGCCCTACCCATCGCTCCTCTTGATCTTGTGCCAGACTTTTGAATATCATGCAAAATAAATATCACTCTTCATTATAATGCTTAGACTTCGCGGATTTAAACGCAATGCTAGAATAAAGGGATTCTTGCTTTTCTGTTAATTACGATGTTATTAATGTTATTAATTTCAACGCCAATCGACATTTTTCTTTTTTTTAAAAAATCTTGTTCTTTTATTGTCACTCACCTCAATATAGTTTCATCAGTTTCTTTCCGCATAATAACCGCCCTTGAGTCTTAGTGGGTGAAATAATTACAAAAAAAAAAGTTCTCCACTGCCTTAACCGGGTATTGAAATCACATTCTTTGGATCCTGTCACTGGATCGAACTAACGCCTTAATCCACTGTGCCATGTGACCTTGAGGCATGTTAGTTTGATCCAGTGACAAAACAAAAGTATGAGTTCAATACCTGGCTAAACAGTGGAGAACTGGAGAGGGAATTAACAGGAGATAACTGATAACTGACATCCATTAAATACGGCCCGTGGAACTAGAACAGTCTACCCCAGTGAGCAAAATAAAGGGCTCAGTTCGACATTCCATCCACCTGTCCTCATCTTTGTCCCCATATTTATCACAATCTTTTCGGCTGTTGTACGCTCCACCCTTCTTCAGGTGGTTGGAATGTCGAAATAATAAAGGGTCAGTTTGACATTCCAACCACCGAAGAAAGCCGGAGCGTACAATGGCCGAAACGTTGTAATAAATATCGCGACAAAGATGAGGACAGTAGTTGGAATAATGTAAATAATGTACATAATACCTCATCTCAGAAATTCAGAGAGAGAGAGAGAGAGAGAGAGAGAGAGAGAGAGAGAGAGAGAGATGGTATATTGATGGTATTGATGGTATATGTTGGGGTCGGTCATGATACTGAGGAGGGTGCTGGATATTTGAGGGAACTTATTGTTTACTCAGACATCTGCTGTCATAGCACATGGAATATAATAATGAAGCATGTTTCTCGTGGTTTCTAATCTTAATCCACTGGATGTTTCAACATGGCCATGTTTGACCTTTGTAAATTAAGACGGGCTACAGTAAAAGAAAAAAATATCCCGTTTACTACCACAGGTTTGCTTGTCTGTTTTCTGATAATAACTATTTGGGTGTGTCCCCTGGGCCTTGACACACTGAATATATGAACGGGAGTAGTGAGAGAGAATTATGACTGGATGTCGAGAGGATATTTAAGACTGTCTATATTTCTGAAATGAGGTATTATGTACATTATTTACATTATTCGGACTACTGTCCTCATTTTGTCGCCAAATTTATTACAAAGTTTCGGCCATTGAACGCTCCGGCCTTCTCCAGGTGTAATAAATATGACGACAAAAATGAGGACAAGTCCGAATAATGTAAATAATGATATTTAAGACTTAAGGGTGAAGCAGACAAGGCGACTTGCGAATCTCATCTAGCTACATAGGAACATCCTCAATCAGAGGTTTACTCGACTTAACGATATTTCTAAATGGACCTCACCTTTTTTGCAATCTCTGTGTAATATTGCCCAAGCGTTACAGCAAGGTTCTTTTCTAAGCTTTTTTATTTTTTGCACCTCATTGTCCATTTGTTGGCGGGCCTCTCCCTCACTCAATAATAATAATAATTAATAAGGAAACTGAAAGAAATTGGTATGAACACCATCCAGGCCCGGTTACTGAGATAGGACCTGTAACAATTTTATGGGACTACGCAATACACAGAGACAGAACAATCACAGCTAACCGTCCATAAATTGTTATTAGAGATCGCAAAAAAAATGCCTCCATATTGACATGGCAGTCCCTACAGTCTGCAATGTATCTTTGAAGATCTTCAAATAGCTATCTAAATACAAGGACTTTGAAATCGAAATCTCAAAAATGTGGCGCTTGGGAACACAAAAAATCTCTGTTGTAGTTGGAACCCTCGGTTTGGTGGAAAACGTTCTAGCAGACTCATAGAAGGGATTCCTGGAAACCCATACCTTAAAGATATACAAAAAAAATATTATCACGAGTACAGCCCACACTTTACGAAGGGCTTTATCTAAATAATATATATATATATATATATATATATATATATATATATATATATATATATGTGTGTGTGTGTGTGTGTGTGTGTGTGTGTGTGTGTGTTTTCTTTAATTGGTCAGGGAAAAATGTCATGATGCCATTTCTGACCTCAGGTCACTCGGCGGGACACAGAATCGAATGTATAGCCACCAGAAATCAAAGGAAATAAAATAAAAACAATAATAATAATAATAGAAAACTAAACCATATAATCATCGAAAGTAGCAAATTGATATAAAAAAATATAAAAGAATAGGCATAACCGATTGGGAAGGTAATTCATTGGTAACTGTGCAAAATGCTGCATTTTGACTAGACGAACCAAAGATTTAAATATTCATAAAATAAAAGACATATCAAAAACACAAAGATGAAAATGACTGTCATAACGATAATAATTTGAGTACTGGAAATTGCCTCAGAGATTGAATTAAAAGATGTGAAAAATATCTGTCTATATTTCTGAGATGAGATATTATAAATATTTACACTATTTACATTGTTGGAACTGTTGACCTCATTTTTGTTGCCATATTCACGACGTTTTGGCCGTTGTACGCGCCGGCCTTCTTCAGGATCTGTCTGTGAGATGAAGTACTATAACTATTTACACTATTTACATTGTTCAGACTGTTGATTGCCATATTCATGACGTTCTGACCGTTGTGCGCTTCGTTATCTCTGTAAAAGCATTGGTTGGATTTAGTGACTTCACGAGTTGTGGGTTCAATACCTGGTTACTGCAGTGGTGCACAAACACATGGAGAGTTGAGTTAAAAGGAGATAACCGAGACATTCGGAAGATGCATGGCACGTGGAACTAGAACTATCTACCTCGGCAGACGAAATAAAGGGTTTAGTTCAAAATTCCTAAAGAAGGTCGGAGCTTACAACGACCGAAACGTCGGGAATATGGCAATAAAGATGAAAACAACAGTCCGAAC